ACAAGCCGTAGATCCTCCCTCCCACCCCCCAGTCGCCGGGTTGAGCCTGCAGCAGCCCCGTCTCTCTACCCCCCGGCCTTTGGGCTGAGGCCGCAGCACGGCAGCCACAGCTCTCCCCACCCCCGAGCACTGGGAATGGGGGAGGACCCGTGGCGTCTACCTTTCCCCTCTCTCCCTCCTCCCCACTGCAGCACCAGGGAGGAAGGGAGGAGGCCACACAACTGAGGGTGGAGCAGACGGCGGGATGCAGAGTGATATGATGACATCACTCTTTTGTCCCTTAGGAAATGTATTTATATATATATATATATACATAGGAAGAGAGAGAGAGAAAGAGTGAGAGAGACATTACCTCACCCAATTTGTGTCTCTCGTGTACTTAGTGATTATTTCATCTGAACACACTACACTTCAACTTGACCCAATATTTTAATAGTAGACAATAAAAATTATTTCCTGCCAACATTTTTCTAAATATGGAAAGCTAGAAAATATCTGTAAGCCTAAAGATATGTACCTAGTTATGTAATGGATTCCTAAAAGTATATTGAATCAAGATGCAGCCAAGCGTATGCTAATTCTACTTTTTCTTTTTTCTTTTGCAGGAGAAGTCTGTTTCTTTAGGAAACCAAGAGTAACCTTTCTAGTAACACAATGAGGTAACTTTTTTTAAGTCTGACTATAGATTTTTGGTTGCCTCCACTTTTAGGTGCCCTTTTTGAAGACATAATAGAAAGGGGTTGATTTCCAGAAAACAATCCAACTCTTTCAAGTGGGGTATCCAAAGTGATTGGTCACTTTTGAAGTGGAGACCAACATATTTCAGCAACAGTTCATAAAGTGAAATCTGATGTTGGGCAAAGAAATCTGTTCAGATCACTTGCAGATGGCTTCAGTATTTCAGGTTGCCTTTTTCTGATAGGCACAATATCTTCTCGAATAAAGGAATCACTTTGGCTTTGTGGTGACCACCTGTTTCATTGCTGGTATGGTTTTATTTCAATACACATCACATTCTTCTTAAATACAGAAATGGTATGGCGAAGCATACGCATCTATGGAATACACACACACACACTCTGTTTTTCTTCTTCCTAGGAGGGTTTTCACTACTTCTTCAAATCAGCATATTTGTGTAGCAGGTACGCATGTATTTACTGTAGCCAATAATGAATAAATACCATATAATCACAAAAAAGTGCCAACTGCTTACAAAGCATCTACAGGTAGGGCTGTTAAATATTGCTTAATTGAATAGTCGAGTAACCTCATTAATTATCGGTTAGTCGACTATTTTATGGTACCCTCAGGGCACGGCCAACAGCCAGTGCTCTCCGGCCTCATTCCTGAAGAGCCCTCTGCCACTCCGCACTGCTGTGTCTGTATCAGAGGCAGCAGCATGGGGTGCCAGGCAGGAACTGGTCCATGAAGGGAGCCAGTTTAAAAACCAGCTCACCTTGCAGACCAGCTGCCTGTTGACCAGTGCTGCTGCCTCTGACAAAGAGGCAGCAGCACAGGGTGGCAGCAGTCCCTATCTAGGGGATGTCTGAGCTTCTGGACCCGGTGTGAGCTGGAACTGAGCTTGGCTGCCTGCCTGCCCAGCTCTTAATACATTTTAAATGAAGAGCTGCAGCGGGGTAGGTCCCAGACGCATCGCAACTCAGGAGTAAGCCGGGCTGCTGGCCAGCCTGCTAAAAAATGTACTGGTAGGGGAAGAGGGTGGGATATGCATGTAGTCTATAGCATTAACATATAAGCTTTTGCTTATCGGTTAATCGATTAATCAACTGCACTAGTACATCCCAACCTAGAAGTGATTATTTTGAAATCATAAATGCCAATGACTCAGCTCTACCTTTGCTTCTAGCATCAGCTCAGAAGACGATAAAGAACAAACGAAGTCAGTCATTAAGGAAATGATGGAAATACTATTCTTTGCATTCCATCTTCTTTCTTATGCTATATGCCAACAGCATGTAATGGAAGTGCTTTCCAGTAGTGCAGTAAGCAAAGTAACTAACATCTGTCACCTGTCTGCACTCTCATCCTGTTCCCTTTGGGGTTTTTTAAATAAACATATAACTGGGTACGTGTGTCGCCTATAAATACGATCAGAAGGCAAGGCCAGAGAAATGTGCCTTGTGCTTGGAGAAGACTGTGATATTGGTGATGGGCTGTAGTTTCAGTGGGAGTTCATTCCATAATCTCAGGCTGGCCATAGAGACAGATCAGTCCTCTGCACAGATAAGCGTCCCTTTTAAGGCAGAAGTTCTGCTGTGCCAGAGGAGCCAAGCAGATGGCCACACTCTTCCATCCAGAGCTTTTGCTGATCTTTTAGAGCCCCTTGAAGATAACAGCCAAGATCTTGCATGAGATTAGATATTCTATGGAAAGTGAGCATGGGGCGTGGAGGACTGACAGGATTTGATGTACTTTGTGGTACTTAGTGTGGCTGAAGAGATATGCTGCAGCCTTCGGTACTGTCAACTCACAGGGGCAGGGCCCAGAGTTGTGGATTCGCTTCAAGACAGAGTTGATTAGGGATAGTTGCTTTTATTAATCTCAGTAGTTTGCTACTATTATAGGCTTAATACTGCCAGATGGTTACACGGCTACTACAAAGTAATACGCCAATAAGCATAGGCAGAGTAATGCATAAGAGTAACAGTCCCATTCTGGTCACCTCGCACCCGGTCGCAGCGAACGTGGCTCCAGCTAGGAGGATCCAGGGCACCCTTTGAGGTCTAGGTCCCTGGTGAGACTCACAGAGGGGTGGGACTCCCAGTGAGCTTATACTTTAGTTGTTTTTTGAGTGGGCGCGAGTTGGCCCAATGCCACTCTCAGCGTTCCTGTGGGGCTGAGAACAGAGGTCATGTTATTTATCCCATATTTGTCTCTCAGCAAAGTGTAGACATATCCTCTAGGACACTGAACTGGGTTCTATTCCCTACTTTGCCTTGGACCTTTGTGAGCTGGGATACATCTGTTTCTTGCATCCGTTTCCATATCCCCATTTTGGAAAGAATGACACTTGCCTAGAACTAGAAGCACTAGATAAGAGCTAGTCAGAGTCCTTTCTTTGGCTGTTTTTAGATCTGTTAAGCTGTGTATGAGGTCATGAAGCCTTTAGCACATAGAAAACTCCAGCTGGTACCTGTCACATAAAAAGCTATATGTAGGGCTGCACGGGTTAAATTTGTATTCCTCTAGGATAGCCATGATGGTGAAAATACCAGGTGGCCTTCATCAGCCACAACTCCCTGGCTGTGTCTACATTGGCCCCTATTCCGTAATAGGGATGCAAATGTAGCACTTTGGAAGAGGCAAATCCGCGGGGGATATTTAACTCCCCCGCGGATTTGCCTCTTCCAAAGTGCTACATTTGCATCCCTATTACGGAATAGGGGCCAATGTAGACACAGCCAGGGAGTTGTGGCTGATGAAGGCCACCTGGTATTTTCACCATCATGGCTATCCTAGAGGAATACAAATTTAACCCGTGCAGCCCTACATATAGCTTTTTATGTGACAGGTACCAGCTGGAGTTTTCTATGTGCTAAAGGCTTCATGACCTCATACACAGCTTAACAGATCTAAAAACAGCCAAAGAAAGGACTCTGACTAGCTCTTATCTAGTGCTTCTAGTTCTAGGCAAGTGTCATTCTTTCCAAAATGGGGATATGGAAACGGATGCAAGAAACAGATGTATCCCAGCTCACAAAGGTCCAAGGCAAAGTAGGGAATAGAACCCAGTTCAGTGTCCTAGAGGATATGTCTACACTAGCCCCCTAGTTCGAACTAGGGAGACTAATGTAGACATTCGAACTTGCAAATGAAGCCCGGGATTTTAAACTTTCCTCGCTCTCCAGGTAAGTTTAGGCTCTTCTTTGCAGCCCCCATTTATGACAGGCTTCTTCTCCATGTTCAGGGTGGAGATGTCACACACATCACTATGATGGAGAATGTTCTCCTGGTACATTCCCGAAGGAATCCGTGGACAGTAATAACTCTGTTTTAACAGGCTGCAGGCTGAAAGATCCTAGACTACTAAGGGCTTTCTAAGGTGGCGGTAAAAACAACATTTACATAAAATCATAACTTGGAAAATGAGGTATGCAACCTAAATCTTTAGTCTCATTTCCTGAATATGCTCAGTTTTTCAGTCCATGCTTCTTATTGTTTTGGGGTCACAAAGGCTCTAAGGGTATGTCTACACTACCCCGCTAGTTCGAACTAGCAGGGTAATGTAGGCATACCGCACTTGCAAATGAAGCCCGGGATTTGAATTTCCTGGGCTTCATTTGCATAAACTGGGCGCCGCCATTTTTAAATCCCTGCTCGTTCGAACCCCGTGCGTGTAGCCGCGCGACACGGGGTTCGAACGAGCAGGGATTTAAAAATGGCGGCGCCCAGTTTATGCAAATGAAGCCCAGGAAATTCAAATCCCGGGCTTCATTTGCAAGTGCGGTATGCCTACATTACCCTCCTAGTTCGAACTAGGAGGGTAGTGTAGACATACCCTAACTAATTTCTGTACATGGCTGGGTCAGCCACCAGTCATGCAGATCAATAGTTGAGGTACAGTGAAACCTTTGTTATACGGCACTCTGTTAACCAGAAAACTTTGTTAACTGACATGACCCACAGCCACAATACTGTCACGTCTTCAGGTGCACTGGCCTGGCTTGGTTTGTCATGATTGGCTTAATATTTTTTTTATTTAAGAAGTACTAATCATCTTTAACTCAAAATAGAAATGTGAGACCAACTGCCTCACACTACAAAACTACCAATATTAAAAACTTGAGTTTTACAGTTATTGTCCATTGGTTTTTCCTAGGTTGATGGGACCCTCAGATAACCGGAATTTTTAGATAACTGGAATGTCCAAATCCCCGAGCGTGCTGGATAACACAGGCTTTATTGTATGTACTACTCATATCTTACAAAAACGGTTTTGTTTATGGAACACACAGCTTTTCAAAAAGTTTTGCTCTTCCGTATTGGTATTTTTGTTTGTTTGTTTTTTAAATATAGACTCTTGGGTTCCTTAGTTCAGGATCGACACTGATAAAGTTAGGTAAATAGAAGGACGTACATGCACGTGCACATGAATAGAGCTCCAGCTTAACTGAGAGATGCTGACAGATATGGTTTTTGGTTCTTTGTCTATAAAGCACCTAGCACAATGGTGTCCTTGTTATGACTGGGGCTTCTACAGCAAATAATAAGGAAGAGGATGAGTTTTTCCATGGGAATGAGAGGAACTGTGACCATTAAAACTGAGGAGTCATTTTTTCCTTCATCTTCCCTTGCTGGGAGGAGAGAACTGCAGTTTAGATAATTGCTTTCAGAAGGCTAGTGCAATATATAAGATTAAAAATGTACATACATACAGCTGATCTAATTTACTGTTTCCATGCATAGATAGAGCAAGTAACAATTTTGAAATCCTATTTTTGTTTTGAGTCCACAGGGAAAAACATAAATTCTTAATTTTCTGTGTCCAGAGTATGTGTAATAATGTATTATAATATGTCATATGCCTAGTCCCCTGACTATAAAGGATAAATATTTTAGGAGCTCTAATGAAGAAAGTTATCTAAATGTCTTTCTCACCCATAAAGAATTCTTCTGTCTCCGGAGAAGAGGTTTCATGTGTTTTGAACATCAACATTCTTTTTCAAATACCTGGATAGGCATTTGTTACATGGGACCCCAATGATTTTGTTTATGAATAAGGAAGAAGCTGTTAATCTATATATCTTCTTAAATAAGACACTAAGCAATGCCTGAAATAATATTGTATCCTGTTTAAGAATACATCAAGTGAATAGAGCTTAATGTTGTTCATAACCTCATATATTCATCTGCCGTTAAAATATCTTTATTAGGGTTGTGACATGCGTTAATGCTTGTGATTAACGCAGGGCAGGATTAATGCGTTCATTTTTTTAACGTGTTAATTGTAGGCTTTAATGCTGTGTTGCCCCTTTGAAGTGCCACTCTGGCGCTTCAAAGGAGCAGCGCAACGTGGAGCCTGGGATCAGCTTTGCAGTCCCCAGCTGACCCTGGGCTCCAGGGTAGCTGCCCCTTTGAAATGCCAGAGGCAGCGTTTTAAAGGGGTGGCTGCCACACAGCTGAACCCCGGCTCATTTGTGAGGCTGCTGCCCCTTTGAAATACCGCCTCCGTGCATTTCAAAGGGGCAGTGTAGCCGATGGTCAGCTGGGGACTGCCCAGCTGATCCTGGGCTCCTTGCGGCATTTCCCCAGAACTCGGGGTCAGCTGATCCCAGGCTCCGCCTTGCACTGCCCCTTGGAAATGCCACCCCAGCACTTCAAAGGGGCAGCACTTCATGGAGCCCAGGGTCAGCTGGGCACTCCATGCAGTGCCACGGTGGCATTTCAAAGGGGAGGCGCACGCAATTAATCACGTGATTAGCCATGATTAAATTTTTTAATCACTTGACAGCCCTAATATTTATAGAAATTTTAAAAATCTATATATCGTAATTAAAAATTATTCTTACATTTAGGTTACTGTCACAATTTGGATCACGATTTGCTGTGGACGAGACAAATTATGCCTCGGATGTTGCTAATTAGGTATATAACTGTGACTTTGCTAGTTGTAGTTTTGTATGAAGACATAGGTATGAGTTCTTGAAGAAATACTTATTAGTTGTGAAGCAGTTTTTAAGAAGTTGAGAATTTTGCCAATAAAGTTTGTTCTGCTAAGTCGCTATGGCCTCATGGTTTCTCTCTCAGAATCATGCTGAAGCATGGGTGCTGCATATGTGCTATAACCAGACAAGCAAACCACAGAAGCAGTCTGTTACTGGATCCGTGCCCGAGGCAGATTGTATCTTTTCCCTGGCTCCAAGTAAGGGCAAGGAAGATGCTAGAGTGTTTTGGGGGGCAGTGGATTTCTCTTGGCTTCACACATTTGGCCTTAATATATATATTAAGCTTAAAACCTGCCAATGAGCACTGAAATGATAAAGGGAATTTTCTTCTGCTTAACGTCTTTTTTTTTTATATTCTACTTCCGACAAAAATGCCAAAACAGCCAAAGACTTGGGTTAAGAACTGCTAAAAATGCAAACATAAATTGGGACCGTTTTTTGTTTATGCTATTGTTTTCTTTTTTTCTCTGTACTTAACTAATGTGTTAATTAAAATGTGCAATTTCAACTAGCAATTAAGAGTTTGTATTACTAGTAATCAGCAGTTATCAGCAAAGCAACCTTTAGAATGCTCAAGGACTTGCTTTCCTTAAAAAAACAAAAACAGAACAATGCTTTTTGACCTACATAGCATCTGTGGTTTTTTTGTTACCTAAATTGTTACACAGACTATTAATTATAGTGTACTTATATCTAAATCAGTAAGCCATCTGTAAAAATTACATTAAAGGGCAGCAGTAATTTCTTGAAACCCTAATAGCACTTGCTTGTGATTTATTTTTGCAACAGTTACTCTGAAGTTTCCTGGAAATGATATTTCTGTGATGGTCATATAATATACTAAAAGACTACCTGGCATTGCTTGGCTCCTTCAGGGCATGGAGCTGGTGGTGTATAGGCTTGCCAGATAGTTTCACAAAAAATACTGAACATGGTGGGAAAAAAATCAGTTGAGCATAAAAAAAAAAAAAAGAAACAGAAGTTGTTGAGCAAAAAAGAGTCACTGCATCTTTAACTCTCTATGCTCCCCCAGCCCCCACCAGACACAGCAGGGGAAGAATGTGCCAAGCTACCTTCCATCTGAGAAAAACAGAAAATACCGGGCATCTGGCAACTCTAGTGGTGTAGGGGGGGCAGGATCAGGACAGGGCCTTGGTGATGCGGGAGGGCGGGGGCGGGGAGGACACGAAAGGGAGGGTTGAGAGGTAAGGAGGGGCTCAGTTTGGGGGGTCCCAATTGGCAGGGCTGTCTTTCCCCCTGGCCGGAATGAGCCTTCCTTCCCCCCACCCTGCCCTCCTGGTTGGCATAGGCCCTCTCTCTTCCCCAGCCCCCCCAACCAGCACAGGCCTTCTCTGTCCCCCCAGCCCCTCCCAGCTGCCAGGGGCCTTCTGTCTTCTCCCTACCCCCCTGGCTGACAGGAGCCTTTTCTCTTCCCACCTCTGGCCACCAGGGGCCTTTTCTCTTCCTCCCCAGCCCACATGCTGCAGCCAAGGTCCAGGTAGGTAGGAGTAAGGGTTTGGGGAAGAGGAGTCACTTTCCTGGTCTGGTGGCAGGCAAGATGGTGGAACTCAGCCTGATGGCCGCTCTAGTGGTGCTGTGGGTCTCCACCCCTGGTGGCCACTTTTCAGTATCCTGTCCCTCCTCTCTGTGCCCTCTCCGTTTCCATGTTATAGAAAACAGTCCCATTCCCAGCACTTCCTGTTTTCTTGGCACTGTCCCATTCCCAGCACTTCCTGTTTTCCTGACCCTGCTTTAAGTTAGAATAAGAGGAAGCTGCAGCAAATTTGGTGGTCCTAGCTCTTACCATTTAAGTCTAAACTTTAAGAGTTCTTGAACAAACGCACAGATGGACAGACAGACAGACAGATGTTTCTAAAATAATATAGACAGACATATTCATAATTTTCAGTTTCACTGCCTATTCATAGCTTCATTTTTCATCTGTTTAGGGCTATTCTTTTAATTTCCTCTGGGTATCCAGAAGAAGCACACATCACAGGAAAACTGCAACGGCCCATCCTAGGGGAAATACACCAAAACAACCTCCTCCCCCCCAAAAAAACAAAAACAAAGAATCCAGCCAAAACGTAAGTAGATCAGATTCTAAGAAAAAGGACTGAATTCAACTGAACTTGAATCATATGTATCTAGTGGGCTTCCAAACTTATAAAGATCAGCAACTGTCATTTTATGGAAGTAACTTTGCTTTTATGTGTTTCTCCAACACAGCAGAATTCTTATTGTGAATGGGGTCCATTCAGCTTTAAAAGAAAACCACATCCCTTTTGTTCTAAGAGTCCATGCGTTCAAAAGGTAAAGATTAATATTTCTTGGCATACATTGCATTTATTTGAAAACTTCGTTTTCAAGATATGATCAGCTCAGGGAAATAGTCGAAGCTTTATTGCTTGTGCTATGTGCCTGAGGCAAAACACTTAGATTGCTCTTGAAAACAGTTCTGTGGAGGAACGGACAAGATGACCCTATAGATTTCTGCCATCTTTAATTGATTCTGAGCTGACTGGCACTGTTGAAAGTCTTCTTTAAATTAAGATATAACACATGTGACTCTGGCATTCTGTAGGAAGCTCAATGGGGTACTTTTTTAAAAGATTGATTTCCATTCTGCTTTTCTCTGTGGCAACCTTCTGGCTGTCGGGAACTTATGCATATCAATAGGACTAGCAACAATACGGTCCCATGTTAACAGGCATTGCACTGAAAGCATGTGGTTTCTGTGTGCACACACAATAAAGCTCTGAAAGGTCCAGATGCTGTTTTCACTTACACTTACGTAAATCCAAAGTGCCTTGACACGAATGAAATGAACTTCACAGCTCTTTGGGGTAGGCTAAATATAGTTATTAACATTAAAATGTCATCGCCGGCTCAAAGTTAGCATCCTCCTATACTTAGACTGGAATAACTACAGTGGCCTAGTTGCCATGGAATGGTAGCTGGTGGTAAATGCAACTTGAAATCCTGAAATTAATTCATATTATAAAGAAAAGGAAAAATAATAGCAACTCTCTATTTTACCATTGCAAGGGGGAAACTGTAATATTTTAACTGCCAGTGGTTAATGGTAAGCACTATGTTATTGTCCCTGCTTCGATAGATGAGAGAATTCAGACAGAGGACTTAGTCTGGGTCACAGGGTGTGTGTGTGTGTGTGGTGGGAGGGAGGGGGGATGGAAGGAGAGAGAGAAAGAGAACAAGCAGAAATTAGAACACAGGAACTCTGGCTTCTACTCCTGTGTTAAGAACATGCTGCCTCTCTGTCAGGCTGAGATGTGTCCTCAATAAGCTTTTCTTTTTCAGTTGCACTTTGAACCCAGAAGGTGTATCCATCCTCCAGCCAGAGCCCTCCTTACCCATATGCAGAATGCAGTTACCTTGGGCATCTGAAAATTTGGGGCAACCCTGGGTCTTAATGTCCTCTTCCTATCTCTGTTCTGTGACTGCTTCTGCTGGAGAGAATCTAGGACTATGTCTACACAACAGAATTTTTTTCCCGAAATATGGCCGCTTTTCCAAAAAAAAAAAAAAAAGCACTTACATCCACACTGCAATCGAAAAAAAAAAATTAAAAGAACAGAGGGGGTTTTCTGACATTGGTAAACCTCTTTCTATGAGGAAAAAGCCTTTTTGCAAAAGAGCTCTTTCGGAAAAAGGCGTGTGTGTGGATGGGGAAGAGGGAGTTCTTTCGCAAGAAGAGACTGCTGGCACTAAACATTAAAAAGGCCGTAGAGCAGTTTTTAAACTAAGAGATGGGGGAAACCTGATTGGTGCAGAAAAGCACGTAAATCAGATGGAGACTTCACTTAGAGGAGAATCCATTGATAGAGATTCTCTAAGCTGTAGTCAGAAAGAGAGGAGGGGAGAGGACAAACCATGGGCCAGAGCAGACAAACAACCACATATAAAGGAATCCAATGCATCAGGGAAGGGCAGACAAATAATCAGTGGAAATTTTTTAAAGTGCTTCGGTGTCAGGCTCCATGTGGCATTTAAAAGTGGCAGTGCTGCATGGAGCCCGAGGTAAGCAGAGGAGTCCCAGGCCCCACACAGTGCTGACACTTTGAAATGCCACGTGCAGCCTGGGCAGCTGGCCCGGGCTGCACATGGTGTTTCTAAGTGGCTGCTTCATGTGGAGCCCAGAGTCTGTCCTTCGGATCCACCTGGCGCTGCCACTTTGAAGCGCTTCCTTCTCTCCCCTCTCTTTGGTTACCTCTTTCTGATAGAGGCAGCAAGGGAAGGGGGGAAGCTACTTCTTGACTAGTGTGTCCACTATCTGATAAGCATTTACTTATCTGATAGTTGACTAGTCATTCACATCCCTATTGCAGACCCCTGTACTGTATGTTCTGTATCTAGTGACCTGTATTTCTCTTCAAGGTGTGTGTGAACTTTTTTGTTTATGGTAAGACTGATTCTTAAAAGAAAAAGAAGTGTGCGTGTACTAATAAGCACACAAAGCTTTAACTGTGTACTCAAGAGTCTGTGTATTTCACCCCTAATAGCCACACCAATCACTACCTGGTGATCTACCCATGGGGCATTACCTGGTTATATACTCAATGTGCAGATTAAAATGGAAAAGCTGTTAAGAGCCAGGTCGCAATCTTTATTTGACCACTTGAGGACTGCCTGCATGTTCCCATGTGGTGTGTGTGTAGGTGGGATTCTCAAAATAAAGAAGAACTTTTATACCAGGGTTGGGAACCTTTTTTGGGTCAGGGGCTGCCGACCCACAGAAAAATTAGTCAGGGGCTGCAAATAAGTGAGAAACCAAAAACAAACGAACAAACCCTCTCTGATGGTAACCCCGGACTGAGAAGGAGAAAGACATTTCCCTCCCACATCAGTCCCAGGGGATGCCCTGGCTAGTAGATTTTGTGTGCTCCAGCCCTGAAGTATGTTGCGGAAGCGAGGGGGAGAGCTGGAGTGCCAGCACGGGCTCCCCAATGCTGAGGAGGACCCTATAACGTCAGGGGCCGGATTCAGGCAAGCCGGGTTTCACATCCATGCCTGAGGTTCCCCACCCCTGCTTTATACAGTTGAACAGCACTGCATGTGAATTGCAGTAAACTGGGATGATGTCTTTGTACTGATGTGAATAGACTGTTGATTACATAGTACTTAATCAGCATAATAAAAGGAGCAATCAAGGACGATAAAGCCATTGCGGAGAAACTAAATTATTTCTTTGCTTCAGCCTTCATGGCTGAGGATGTTAGGGAGATTCCCAAATCTGCACCATTTATGGGTGATGAATCTGAGGTGCTGTCCTGGATTGAAGTGTCATTAGAGGAGGTTTTGGAACAAATAGAAAAACTTAATGTTAACAAATCTCCGGGACTGGATGGCATACATCCAAGGGTTCTAAAAGAACTTAAATGGGAAAGTTTGTAACCTATCCTTTAAATCAGCTTCTGTACCTAATGACTGGAAGGTAGCCAACGTGACACCAATATTTAAAAAGGGCTCTAGAGGCCATCCTGGCAATTACAGACCGGTAAGTCTAACTTCAGTACCGGGGAAATTAGTCGAAACAATAGTAAAGAATAATCCGTGGCACGGATTAGGTACTTCGAATTAAAGCTCCTAATTCGAACTACAGTTAAACCTCCTTGCAGGAGGAATAAAGGTAGTTCGAATTAGGAAATTTATTTCGAACTACCTAGACTGTGCTGCGTGTAGCCGCGGGCAGGGAGTTCAAACTACAGGACATTTAAAAATGGCAGCGCCCAGGAACATGCAAATAAAGCCCGGGATATTTAAATCCCGTGCTTATTTGCAAGTTCGAATGCCTACATTAGCCACCCTAGTTCGAACTAGGCTGGCAGTGTAGACATACCCTTAGAGTTCTTTGAAGGGGTTAACAAACATGCGGACAAGGGGGAGCCAGTAGATATAGTATACTTAGATTTTCAGAAAGCCTTTGACAAGGTCCCTCACCAAAGGCTCTTGTGTAAATCACATGGTCATGGGATAAGAGGGAAGGTCCTTTCATGGATTGAGAACTGGTTAAAAGACAGGAAACAAAGGGTAGGAATAAATGGTAAATTTTTAGAATGGATAGGGGTAACTAGTGGTGTCCCCCAAGGGTCAGTCCTGGGACCAGTCCTTTTCAACTTATTCATAAATGATCTGGAGAAAGGGGTAAGCAGTGAGGTAGTAAAGTTTGCAGATGATACCAAACTGTTTAGGATAGTCAAGACAGAAGCAGACTGTGAGGGACTCCAAGAAGAGCCCACCAAAGTGAGTGGTTGGGCAACAAAAAGGCAAATGCAATTTAATGTGGATAAGTGTAAAGTAATGCACATCAGGAAAAATAACCCCAACTATACGTACAGTATGATGGGGGCTAATTTGGCTACAACAAATCAGGAAAGAGATCTTGGAGTTATCGTGGACAGTTCTCTGAAAGCTTCCCCGCAGCGTGCAGCAGCAGTCAAAAAGGCAAATAGGATGCTAGGAATTATTAGGAAAGGGATAGAAAATAAGACACAGAATATCTTACTGCCCCTGTATAAAACTATGGTACGCCCACATCTTGAATACTGTGTACAGATGTGGCCTCCTCACCTCAAAAAAGATATTTTGGCCTTGGAAAGGGTTCAGAAAAGGGCAACTAAAATGATTAGGGGTTTGGAACGGGTCCCGTATGAAGAGAGGCTAAAGCAACTGGGACTTTTCAGTTTAGAAAAGAGGAGACTGAGGGGGGATATGATAGAGGTCTATAAAATCATGAGTGGTTTGGAGAGGGTGAATAAAGAAAAGTTATTTATTAGTTCCCAGAATAGAAGAACTAGAGGACACCAAATGAAATTAATGGGTAGCAGGTTTAAAACTAATAAAAGAAAGTTCTTCTTCACACAGCGTGTTGTCAACCTGTGGAACTCCTTGCCAGAGGAGGCTGTGAAGGCTAGGACTATAACAGAGTTTAAAGAGAAGCTAGATAATTTAATGAAGGGTAGGTCCATATAAGGCTTTTAGCCAGGGGATAAATACTGTGTCAGAGGCTGGACATGGATGGCATGAGACAAATTGCTTTTTCGGTCCACTCCCTCTGGGGCACGTGGTGCTGGCCACTGTGGGCAGACAGGCTACTGATCTAGATGGACCTTTAGTCTGGCCCAGTAAGGCCGTTCTTATGTAAGAGGAAAGAGGAAAAAGCACAGGTGCTCTGGTGGCCACTCCATCCATAGTAATCACCGCTTACATGCCAGAGAGCATCCATTCAGTGCGGATGCTATCTGTCGAAAAAGCCGATCACTTTTTCGATGCGCTTTGGCAGTGTGG